ACGTCAGTGCCTCACATTGACATTAGTCATTTCACTTTAATAATTTTTATTTGATTTTTTTCCCCCAAAATACTTCAAAGTATAAGTTGGGCTTGATGACTGCTAAGGTACTTTCCTACTTTCAGTTTCTGTAATGCAAATACTGTGATTCCTCATGTTCTCAGAGAATATAAAAAATGATCATTTTTCATTTTCTGGGATTACTGAGGGGCATCAATTATTGTACTACTCTGTAACATAGTGATGCCTACAAGTTACCTAGTCATTGTGTGACCTTGGGCATGTCAACTGATTTTTCAGGGTCTGTCTATTCGTCTTTAAAGGTTCTTCTACCATTAGCAAGTATGCTTTCAAACAAGTGTATGATATGATCTAGAGCAGTTTAAAATTGTTGCGGAAAACCAGATAATCACATTTACTAAATAAGTACCCGTAGTTTTACATACAATACTAAGCTGTAAGCCGATCAGTTCTGATCTGAGAATCTAAGTGGGGATCTACTTTTCTCCTGTGAAGTAAGGGGCTTTGTGACATCTATTTTTCCTTGATAGTTGATATCTGAAAGCTGTGTGCAGGCTAGGATAGATGAACTCTTTCAGGTCCCTTCTAGCACTATGATTCTATGGGAAGGAAAAAAAAAAAGAGAGAGAGAATACAGCCCAGACTGATCACTACAGATACCTGACCAAACGAAATAAAGCAAATAACCTTAGAAGATATAGGCTGCTTATCCAGAAAGGGGGTAAAAAGTGGTTCAGTCCATTGGCCTGCTTGATTACAACTAAATGGTAAAATTTTTAAAAACGTATTTTTCTGAAATGCTGAGAACTTCCTCAATATTTGTAATCATTGAAATAGGTTGTACCTTTTGCTTATTTTCCAAAAGAAAATAAAAACAACAGAAAAGCTTATCATCCTGTCTATGGGGCATTGCTTATAGTGTTCTCTAAGTACTCTTTTTTGATAGAAAATATTCACTTTTTTTGAAGTAAATATTTTGGGGCTCTTTGGCATAGTTAATATACCACTACTTTCACCATCACTTCATCCTCAAGTATAGTATTACTAATACCAAAGACTGTATATTTTAAAAAGACTTAAGGTTTCAACACTCTTTTAATTATAACTTTGTGTTTACAGATTTATCCTTCTCTCCCCCCCACACACTTTTATTTTAGTTCAGCTACAATTTTCCAGGTTTGGTTTCAGCATGAAATTACTATTGGGAGAGAGAAGAGAAGATGGATGGCAAATGGGAGGAAGGTAGAGCAACTGAAACATCCTATTAACTATTCTAAATTTCTGAAACCATAAGAGGAGAGAAGGAAAATGGAAGACTGCTTCTATTTAATGGAAAGGAGAAGCTGTGGGGTTTTTTTTGCCAGTTGTTTAAAACGTCAAAAACATAAAAATATTTTTCCTTTCAAAATTCATGTAAGCCAAAATGACAATCCGTACCAACAAAGGATAACCATTCTTTCATTGTCTTCCTAGTTACCTCCCTAATAAGAACAAACTTAACAAAAACAGTTTCAGTGGAAGATGAACAGGAAAATATGCTGGGAGATATATATGTGCATATATAGGTATATACATATATATGTGTGCATATATGTATGTACATATATATATGTATATAATGTTTAAGGATGAAAATTAAGTCTAAGGTCCCTTCAAACTCTAAAATAGTAACATTCTTTAAAAATGATTAGCATAGCTCCTTCTCTGACTTACTCTTTGCCCTGAATACACTGAGGGGCTAAGGAGGAATGGAAAGAGAAGGGAATGTCTATGATGCAATAATGGTGGTGGAAGACATCAAAGTGGGAGATCCTCTGGTGGTTACTTCTGCTTCACTTTCATATCAGCCCTGATTCTTTCTTTCTCTCTCTTCCTCTCATTCTCACTTCCTCTTTTTCTTCCTTTTATCATTATAGAATTCATAACTTTAAAGGTTAAGAGAAAAAATAAGACAAAACTGAGCAACCACCTAGAAAATAAAAATCTTCATTTCCTAGAATGCAATCAAGAGAATGAAATCACTGTACGCTTATTTTGCCATAGGCTATAGGTATCTAGTCATAGCCTATATGTATCTAGTCAAAAATTATTTTAATCAAAAAGTTAAATTTCATTGTTGTGCATAAATTCCAGCTTAAAATAGAAAATACTGACTTATCTTTTTTTTGCAACTAAACTAAATGTATAATGCTTTCCTCTTTCATAAAAAATGAAATGAAACCATTACTCCCTTAATAGTAGTCACTTCTTTAATATTTAAAAGGTGTATCTTATTTCAAATAGTTTTTAGAGCACTTACCCTATTCTGAAAACATTATATGTACATTTCAAATTTTGAATTTTCATCTTAAACAAAATCATTTCACATAAATGAATGAAGTTTAGGCTTTGTCATTCTTCTCAACGTTCTTCCAATGTGGTCTCAATTTCAAGTTATTTGAAAACATTATTTTAATTGCTATAAAATAATCATTATATAAAACTTGATTTGACTCAACCCATACATACAAAAGTCTGTTTAATCTGACTTAAGCATGAACTCTAACTGGAAATATTTATTCATTATGCTTATATGTAAAATAGTCCTTAGAAAAATCAATGTAGTTCAAAAGCCTGCCAAATAAAAATTTAAATTCAATCCTATATTGTGAAAACAAGGGATTTAAAATGCAAAATATTTAACATACTATTTCAGAATATAGCTAAATAATTTTCATTCTTCATCTTTCAATGCTAGTAACAATTCTAAATAAATTTGTGAACAGTTTTTGCCATCCTAATAATCCAAGTTTTCTGCCCTAGACGGAATTGTCACAGAGCAGCAGCAAAATGACAGGATTTTCTTTTTCTTTGAGATATCTAAATATTCCACAATACAATAAAAAACTGGACCATGTTTAACACTACTCAGATTCTTATCAGTTCTGAAATATGAGAAGGACTCACAAGTTTGCAGAGAATTCAGAAAATAACTACACAGTTGGTCTTAGGAAAAAATATATGAAGAATATGGCTTCTCCTTGGGGCAACTGATAGAGTTACTCAAATAAAGATTTAGTCCATCATCATAAGCCTTAACACCTATTGTCCACTGGTTTACCAGCTGAGACTTATTTTGAGTTTTATTTAAGTAAGTATATATTAAACCTATGGATGTCTGTTCAATAGAAAGTGATATTTTATGCAGGTCTGGAGATGTGGTATGGTGGATTGAGGGCAGGTTATGCAAGTCAGGAATGCATGGCATTGTACCCTGCCTCTGTGGTCATGTGACTATGGGCAAATCAGAACATCTCCATGTCCTGAGCAACTCTATAAGAGTTTCATAAAGGACTTTTCATCTACATTTGGGAAAGTGGCTTCCATACAAAGAGTTCCTTAAACTGATGAAATCACAGATACAAACCATCCACTCCCTCACTCCCCAAAGAAGACATTTATTATCTCCTTTTAATTAATAGGAGGTAGAAATACGAAAACCTGGATACCTGACCTGGAAAATGTAGTATTCTGTTTAATGTAGAAGTTACACACAATTTGAGCAACATGGTGGTCAGAGTTGTAATATCTGCAATTGATGTTTAGCAAGAAATTTTTGTTGAATTCAAGTTGGTTGATTTCTTTTAAATGATTCAACATGATAAAAGATTTCATGCTCTCCACACCCAAATATGTGCTGCAAATTACAGGTCTTTGAAATAAAGAAAGGGCATAAGCGATCAAGCATACCATTGGATGTATGGAACAAATGCCACCCTCATCTTCACCAGTGTTATTTATAAGGTCATACAGGGCCCTTAGCACTTTCACTGGAAACAGATGTTTGCCAAAATATGATTATAAGAAATCGTGATTAAGTTTGCAAGTTGTAAACTCCTTGAAAACAAGGATTGGTTTTTGTTTTGTTTCATTTTTTGTTTTTTTATCCACAGCACCTAGTATGATGCTTTACACATAACAGGCACTTGATTATTGAATTGTTATTGAATTGAATTGAATTGAATGATAGTATGACACTTCAAATTATATTCACATTGAGACACAAAACTAATTTTATTCTGATGTTTTTCTTTAAATATATCCTCTTATTCCAGCAAGAGGGGAACTGCGTCTGAGTTAAATTTCAGTGTTACTCATTTATTGTCTAACATTATCAATAACATTTGTAAAACACTAAAATATATTCCATACAAACTGTGAACGAAGTCACTCAATATCCTTCCTCTTTGTCCACATTTTAGAAGATTCTGGAAGCACCATAAATGTTCCCAGACTACAACAGGATTACTCTCATTTGACTAGCATTCCAGTAGTTAAATCACATCAAGTGATGAATATCTTATCCAATCATAAATTTCAAAATACAGGACTTCTTGATATAAAATTACTTTTTTGGAGACTAGAACAAATCCAACTTTGAATGTTTCATTAATATCTCTTTATCAGAAGTCATTCCTTGCTTACTTTAAATGAATGTGGGAAGAGTCAGTGTGATAACAGAGTTTTTTGAGCTTCCTAGGAAAAGCATTAAATAAATACTTGGTGCTATTAATGTTTTATAGAAACAAAATAATGAATAATGCAAAGTAGCTGTACATGTTCTTTTGGTGCAGTATTTTTTGGCAATAATTAAATAAATAAGACATTGGACATAGGTCAGAAATTTAGCTACAGTTTTTAAAAAGGAACTATGTGCTATAGAGTGCATCAAATGTTTTTATAATAGATAAATAAGCAAAACCACGAAAGCCAATGACATCTTTTCTGTCTTTTAAGAAATGAGAATCATACAAAAACCCCCCACATCTTTAGCAAATTGCTCTTCTCAGAATTCATGACAGTGACTCATGATTAAACCTAATCCTTAACTTTTTGTGATGCCAAAATAAATATTCTCTTTCCCAATATGTATAAACAAACTTTCTTTTACCTTTTTGTTGACAACAAAGGAAAAGGTAAAATATCTTCTCATTGTTTACCTTGTAAAATGAATTGCTCCATACTTTCTTTGAAAGGTTGAATGTGCTCCTCTAGGGACATCTGATAAACTTTTCCTGCTTCAGTTTCACAGGCTGAAATTAATGCAAGAAATCGCTTAGAATGCCACATGCTTAATGATAGAATAAAAATATATAAAAAAACACATTATCTAACATCAGACAGTCTAGTTAGCCCTGTAAACTGATTTATTTCTACTCATTTCATTGAAGCATTTGAATGAAAACAAAAACCAATTTGAATGGGGTCATATGCAATGATTCATTTAGTGGGGATATTCATATTGTTTCAAATACAGCACAATTCCCACGTTGGGGACACTATGAATAACCACTGAGAAAAGCTCTGAATTAAGATTTGCCATTGGCATGATGGTAATAAACCAGAGTATGGAAGCAAAAACCTGAAAATCACATTCACCTTGATAGCCAACAACTCAAATTAAAGAATGTCCCATATAGTCATTGCAGTATAAACTAAAATTTTGAAGTAAAGATACCAATCACCCCAAAAGTCTCTCATAGAAATCTCAAGGCAAAAGGACTTCCATGAGTGATGTAGTTTTCTCCTTAGTTTAACAAGGGCATTTAGAAGGTGTGGGGGGGGGGGGAGACAGGTGTTACACTAATAGCAGACATTCTACCTTCCTAATATAGTGAAAGGAGAATTCGGGTGTACTATGATTTGGGACCAATCATAACTGCATTTCTGATAGCTTATTTGTTAGTAAAATGATAAATGAAGTAGTTTGACCTACAAAAAGGAATAAGACGTAGAATAGCAATGAATCTGAAGACCTAATACTGTTTGTATTGGTTTTCTATTATATATTATAAAATAAATAAAGGAGAGTTTATCTTGAAACCCCACAATGTTTAATTTTGAGAAGTGAAGACTTACTGGAGGTATGAGAAGGATAGTATGATCACTATTTTCAAATATTTGAAGGATTTTCAATTAAAACTTTATTTTTGTTGCTTTAAAGAACAGAAATAGACCAAGACTGGAAGCTGCAAGGCAGATTTTGACTCATTATAAGAATGAATTTTCCAACCAATAAATCAAATTGGGCTGCCAATTTGATGGTAATCTCCTCATCGATGGAAATAGTCCAATTGAGCTTGGGTGTACAACTGTCAGAGATTGTGAAAATGGATCCCTGCCCTGGAAGGATGGGAGTGAGGACTGAATTAAGTGATAGTTAGCTGCATGGAACAATTTCCTCCCCAAAATATAAAGACTTGGCCAAAGAGATCAAAATCACACAAGAACAGCATGGGGGTATATATCATTCCTGTTGTCTTGTCTCCTTGAGTTTTACTGAGGATGCTTTCAGTGATTATATTTTAGTACTTTAATCCAACTACAATGAACAGTTATTTAATCCATTCACACAAAAGAATGCTAAACATAAAGTACAGAATCCTAAATATATGAGAATAACATGTTTATCCTTTCAACATACAGAGCAAATATTCTGGTTTGGGCCCTCAATACGTTGTGCCTAAAACATTACAGTATCTTTATTTTGAAAAAAAAGTTTTTATTTTTTTGAAAATTTTTTATTTTTCCTCATTACATGTAAAAACAGTTTTTAACATTCATTTTAAAAAATTGTCACCTCTAAATTGTCTCCCTCCCTCCCTCTCCTGCCCTTCTTTGAGAAGGTAAGACATTTGATACAGATTATACATGTGCAGCCATGCAAAATAATTTCTAAATTAGCCATGTTGCTAAGAAAGCACAGATAAGAGATACAAGAAAAATAAACTTTAAAAAGTATGCTTTGATCTGCATTCAGACTCCATCAGCTCTTTCTCTGGAGATGGATAGCATTTTTCATCATATGTCCTTCAGAATTATCTTGGATCATTTTATTGCTGAAAATAGCTAAGTCATTGACTTTTGATTATCATACAACATTGCTGTTACTATGTTCAATGTTCCCTTGGTTCTTCTCATTTAAATTTGCATCACTCATATGAGTCTTCCCAGGTTTTTCTGAAACCACCCCTCTCATCATTTCTTATAGCATGATAATATTCCATCACAATCATATACAACAACTTCTTCAACCATTCCCCAATTGATGGACATTCTTTCAATTTCCAATTCTTTGCCACCACAAAAAGATCTGCTATAAATATTTTTGTACATGTAGGTCCTTTTTTTTTTTTTTAAAAAAAATCTTTTTAGGATACAGACCTAATAATAGTATTGCTAAGTCAAAGGGCATGCACAGTTTTGTAGCCTTTTGTACTTCATTCCAAATTGCTCTCCAGAATGTTTACAATAACACCAACAGTGCATTAGTGTCCTAATTTTTTTCACATTCCCTCCGACATTTTTCATTTTCCTTTTCTGCCATATTAACTAATCTGATAGGTGTGATGTGGTACCTCAGAGCTATTTTAATTTGCATTTCTCTAATTAAAAGTGATTTGTACATTTTTATGTGACTATAGAAAGCTTTGATTTCTTCTTCTGAAAATTGCCTGTTCGTATCCTTTGGCCATTTATCAACGAGGGACTGACCTATATTCTTGTAAATTTGACTCAGTTCTCTCTGTGTTTGAGAAATTAGGCCTTTGTCAGAGATACTTACTGTAATCTCCCTCCCCCCCACTCCCCCACGGTTTCTGCTTTCCATCTAGGTTGCATTGGTTTAATTTATATAAAACCTTTTAAATTTAATGTAATCAAAAAAATCCATTTTATATCCTGTAATGTTTTCTATCTCTTGTTTGGTCACAAATTCTTCCCTTATCCAAAGATTTGACAGGTAAAATATTCCATGTTATCCTAATGTGCTTATAATATTACCCTTCTTGCCTAAATCATGTACCCAGTTTTACCCTATATTGGTACATGGCATTAGATATTTTTGTATGCCTAGCTTCTGGCAAACTGCTTTCCAGTTTTCCCAGTAATTTTTGTTTAATAGTGAGTTCTTGTCCCAAAAGCTTGGGTCTTTGGGTTTATCAAGATTTTTACGGTCATTTACTATAATGTAATTCATACCTAATCTATTCCACTGATCAACCACTATATTTCTTAGCCAGTACCAGATTGTTTTGATGAATTACTGCTTTGTAATACACCTTGAGATTGTGTACTACTAGGCCACCTTCCTTTACTTTTTTAAAATTAATTCCCTTGACATAGTTGACCTTTTGTTCTTCCAGATGAATTTTGTTATTATTTTTTCTAGCTCTATAAAACAATTTTTGGTAGTTTGCTTGAATAGCATTAAATTAGAAAATTAACAGAATTGTCATTTTTATCATAATGGTTTGGCCTATCCATTAGCAATTAATATTTCTCCAAATGTGCAGATCTGGCTTTATTTGTGCGAAAAGTATTTTATACTTGTGTTCATATAGTTCCTGGATTTGTCTTGGCATGCAGACACCCAAGTATTTAATATTGTCTACAGTTATTTTAAATGTAAATTCTCTTTCTATCTCCTGTTGCTGGACTTTGTTGATAATATATAGATATCCTGATGATTTATGTGGATTTATTTTATATCCTGTAACTTTGCTGGAGTTGTTAATTATTTCAACCAGTTTTTTAGTTGGTTTTCTAGGATTCTCTAACTATACCATCATATTATCTGCAAAGAGTAATAGTTCTAGCATAATATTAAACAAATTGAGTGATAATGGGGATCCTTGTTTCACCCCTAATCTTACTGGGAAGGCTCCTAGCTTGTACTCTTTACAGAAAAAAGCTTGCTGATGGTTTTAGACAGATAATAAATACTTATCATTTTAAGAAAAAGCTCCATTTATTCCTATGTTTTCTAGTGTTCTTCATAGAAATGGGTATTATATTTTGTCAAGAGCTTCTTCTACATCTATGGGGATAATCATATAATTTTTGTGATTTTTATTATTGGTATGATCAATTAGGCTGATAGTTTTCCTAATATTGAACCATCTCTGCATTCCTGGTGTAAATCTCACCTGATCACAGTGTATGATCTTTGTGATATATTGCTATAATGTCCTTGAAGTTTTTTGGTTTTATACAGCTTAAATTTTAACCTGTTTCCCCTCCTTTTCTTCTTCCCCTCCTAGAAAGTCATTCCATATAACAAAATTTTTTAAAGAAGACAAAAGAGGAAGAAGAAAAATATAGCAAAAATCAATCAATGCACTCAAAAAAAATTGAAGATACTGACAATGCTTCACAACCATGAAGCTTCCATTTCTGCAAAGGAATGGGCTTAGGATGTCTTCTTACAACTCTTCCTTGTAATTTCACAGCATTTAAAAAAAATATTTTGTTGTGACTACTCTTTTCACTTATATTGTTGTTGTTGTTGTTATTATTGTACATTTTATTTTCTTGCCTTCAATTGATTCAATTCAATTAATGCCTTCTTGCATCAGTCCATGTAAATTTTTCTATGTTTCTCTATATTTAGCATATTTAAGGTTTTTTTTTTGCAACATGGTAAAATATCATTACATTCATATACATATTTTGTTTAGCCACTCCTCAATCAATGAGCAACTACTTTGTTTCCAGTTCTTAGCTATCATAAAAAAAAACTACTTCTGTAAATATTTTGGGGCATATTAAGACTTTTTTATTTCTTGATCATCTTGAGGTATATATCTAGAAGTGAAATCACTAGGTCAAAAATATGGACTTATTTCAATAACTCAAAATTGCTTTCCAAAGTGTGTGTACTATTCAAAAGAACCCATCCCTACAAATGTATTCATGCGCTTCAAACAATCTTTCCAAAAGTGACTATTCTTATGTTTTGTCAAATTTGACAATTGTAATAAATTTTATATCAAGAAAGAGAGGCTCACTTTTCAAGACAAAAAGTAGCTATGATCAGAATGTCTCAAGATGCTTGTCCAAAATGGGGCAGCTAAGTGGTGCAGTGGATAGAGCATCGGCCTTGGATTCAGGAGGACCTCAGTTCAAATCCAGCCTCAGAAATATAACACCAGCTGTGTGGCCCTGTGCAAGTCACTTAACCCCATTGCCTATCCTAAAAAAAAAAAGATGCTTGTCCAAATTATTCTAGATGTTAACATAATTAAATCTGCTT